AATGCTTACTCTTAAAATAAAGTAATGCCTTATTATTTAATATAATTCCAATAGATTCTATTTACAAGTAGAATACGTCCAATCTGATTGGAACGCCGGGTATGCTACTCCAACAGGTTTATGATTAAAACAATAATAATTGCATCTATACTAATTTTCTATCAAATAATTATTGAGTTGCCTAACATCAATTTGCAAACAATGACACACAGACCCTTAAATCTATACTAATTTTCTATCAAATAATTATTGAGTTGCCTAACATCAATTTGCAAACAATAACACGCAGACCCTTAAATTTTGCATTTTATGTCATGAATAATGAGGAAAAAAAAAATTGATAGATATCATAAGAATATATATCCTAAACAATAGCTTTGCTGTTTGACTGAAAAATAGAAAGATAAGAAATTTGAAATTTAACTTTGATATGGGATATCATACCTCAATGAGTAAACCGGGCCAAGGAGTGAGTTGAGTGAAGCCGAACATAGACAAGACAAGGCCGGTCGAAAAGGATACGAAGAAGCACGACCACGGTTGGGATACCCCGAGATCGTGAGGATGAGAATCTCGGTACATAGGGCAGCCGGGAGAGCAGAGAGAGTCGGGTCGATAAGGGAAAGGACCGAGCAAAGAGTATTCCAGGTGGTCGACACAAGGGCTAGAGGTGATCTGATGGTCGAACACACAATACGAGGATAGGACATAAGAGATTGACTTGGATAAGGTCAAACTACGAGAGTCTCCAACGGAATTTCCAGAGTGACGTCAGCGGAATCAATGGGGGAATATTTTACCCATGTGCAGAGGACACGTGTCTAAGAGATACTGGCGCAGAGGATAGTGGCGACGGCTACCTCTCACACACGCACACTGTGCGTGTACGGACGGGCAGTTGGGGCAGACAACTCATCAAATCTGGGCAGCCCCTAAGTCAGGTATCTCACCCTTATATATAGGGGTGAGTCTTTCTTGTGCATTACGATCAATATACTTTCTCTTGAGAATTGACTGATAAAATACTAACTTAAGCTTTGGAGGCTCTTCACCGGAAAAACTACCCGGTGTGTTCTTTGTAGGGGCACGACGTTCAACTGGCGAGAAGGAAGGCGATTACTCGGATTCCAGCTGGTCAGGGATTTTGTGTTACCATTTGGCGCCGTCTGTGGGACTTTTCATTAAAAAAATGGTGTGCTAAGGTTGTTGAGCTCGGTAGCTATGGCGGACAGAATTCCCAGAATCAACTTACGATCAAGGATACTTTGACCCCGCTCTACGCTTTCGCTTTTCTCAGCTTCTGAGCCTAGAAAAGGTATTCCGCTTGTTAGCTGTTGAGTGAGCTGATGCCCACTGCTTGGGAGCTTACGCTTTCATGTTCTATTTCACTCCCCGATGAGCCTGAAGCTAGACGACAAGGTCAATAAAAAATAAATAAGGCCACTTTTAATAGCAACATCCAAAATGCCTATCCGAACACGTCATTGCTTCTTCTCCGGGAAGAGATCTACATATCTCTCTCGCCTATCAAAAGTAGAGCGCAAAGAAAGCAGTATCTCATCCGAGGTCGAGTCATCGTTCGATGAGGCTTGGACAACGACAAGGCCGTTAGGGCTAGGCCCTCCTCCAGGTTTCTCTGGCCATTCGCAAACACCGGTCACTCCCATGTATATTTCTTAAAGGTGTGGAGGTGCCACCAGTAGTTCCCGGAGGAGAGACAGGCTCTACTGGTGCCCAGAAAACTCACACAGCGCTCGCAGAGGCGATGCCACCGCCGTTGCAACCAAGGCCGGTTGCAGTACATTCGGCGAGGCCGTGGTGCAGGGAGGAGCACCACTGCAAGTGGAGGAGCAGCGCCCTGGCCAACAGGTGGTGATGACCAGGCAAGAGATGCAACAGATGGTGGCGGATGCAGCGGCGCAAGCCGTTCAGCAGGTGACGAAAAACCTCTCTCGAGCACTACCGCACCAACAACGGTGGCAGATACCAACCACAACGCGGAGGAGGACGTATCTAGTTATGGGGGAGGTGAATCCTGCAAGATCAAGAGGTGGAGAGGATTGCTGAGCAGTTGCGTCAATTGCAGGCCAGGGTGGACGGTCGAACGGAGAGGTACGCTCGAGGACACCCGTTTTCGAGGGATATACTGGTTTCTCCCTTGCCAGCGAATTTCAAGGATACGAATTTGGTTTTTGACGGGACCTCTAACCCGTCGAGGCATGTGAGGACTTTTAAAAATATGGTTGTGTTGCATGGATATACTAATCCTGTTAGTTGCAGGGCATTCTTATCGACCTTGAGAGGAGGCGCGCTCGATTGGTTCCAACAGCTGCCCCCGGGGTCGATCGCATATTTCGAGGATTTTGCTGAGAAGCTGACAAATCAATATTCAAGCGCGGTGGCCCAGGAGAAGACGTACTTGACCCTGATGGCGATGAGGCACGGCGAGAAGGATTCCCTGCGCAAATATGTAGCCCGATACAATCAGGCTTGTTTGGAGATCTCGTCGGTAGTCGATGAGGTCAAAGCGGGAGGACTGATCAGGAGTTTACGAGAGGGGCCATGTCGGACTTCCTTGGCCAAAACCCCAGCCTGTACTTATGACGAGGTGTTAAAGAGGTGCAGAAAGTATATTAACCTCGAGGAGATAGAGGCGGAGTTTGTTAAACTGGAGGAATTGGCTCGACCAGAGCCGGAGAAGGAGAAGGCAAATTCGCCAAAGAGGAGGTCGCCCAGGAGAGGATAGCCCAAAAGTGAAGGGAGAGCTAGGCAGGATCGAGGGCGTGAGGATAGATGGAAAGATCGACCCATTGCTGGAGGGAAAAGGTTCCATGGTTACACCATGTTGAATGCAAAAGTGGCTGAAGTATTGGTGGCTATGGAGAAGGAGATTAATGGCTCAGGTCGAGGTTTGAGGGGCCAACTCAACCAAAGTCGAGGAGATATTGTCGATTCCACAAAGACTACGGCCATACTACGGAGGATTGCCAGTACTTGAAGAATGAGATTGAGCGTCTTATTCGAGCAAGGCAACTCAAGGAGTTTGTATACCACGATAAAGTGAAAGGGAAAGCGAAAAGTAGATTTCGGGAGGAGTCCATAGAGAGGAGTGACAGAGATGATGATGAGGAGGATGATGGTCGAGGTGGTCGAAGAGGTGATGAAGGTAAAAGGAGGCGAGGGAATGGAGATCAGGGAAGGCAGGATATGGGCCCAGTGAAGAGAGGAACGATATACATGATTTCGGGAGGCCTGACAGATGGGGACTCGAACAACGCCAGAAAGAGACATGTTCGGGCAATGAAGAGAAAAAAAGAGGAGGTAGGAATTACTGCTCGAGTCCTGGAGATTAGTTTTCGAGCAGAGAACGCGGAAGGAGTGGTATTACCCCACAATGATGCCTTGGTAATCACGACGTAAGTGGCTGGTTTTGATGTGAAGAGGGTGTTTATAGACACAGGTAGCTCGGTCGATGTTATGTTCTATGATTGCTTTGTGCAGATTAATCGGGAGTTGAACGTGGAGCTAAAGCCGGTAGCCACTGCTTTGTATGGTTTCAATGGAGGAGAAGTCATGCCAATGGGAGAGGTAAGCCTGTCCGTCTGTTTTGGGGAAGGGAGCGACGAGGAAAGTCAGAATGGTAAGATTTATGGTGGTCAGAGCTGAATCATCGTACAATATTATCATGAAGAGGACCAGTTTGAATGCATTCCAGGCGGTCGTATCAACGTACCACATGATGATCAGGTATCCTGTGGGCGAAAATGTTGGTGAGGTTGCAGGGGATCATCTCACGTCGCGGATCTGCTATCAAACCACGGTGAGAAACAATAAGCAGTTGGCTAAGGGACATGCGAAGGTAGGAGATAAAACCCCAAGTCGACACGGGAGTTCGAGGTCGAAGGAGGAAAAGGTGATGTTGGATAAGGGCAAGGAAAAAGTAGAGATGCAGCCATGAGGGAAGATTGAGGAAAGTCAAATGGTGGAAGATAGCGAGGAGAGGAAGTTTAGAATCGGGAAAGAGTTGGAGGATCCTGTGAGGTCGAGGAACCTTTTGGTTTTTACATATTATTCGTATTTGCTAACCAATGTTATTTTTTCGAAACAATATAATTCATTACTAGAACACATAATTGCAACTGGCTCAGTAGCAGAATGAGGGAGGCATACTAAAGGTAGCCTAGATGCCACAACACAACACTACAAACACGCAAAAAGGCACCCCAAGAGAGAATACTCGCTCCCAAACAG